GTACCAAAGACATAGCGGTATATTAGAACTTTGGGTTTTGAAAGTACAGTTCAAGAATTGAACTCGAAGAGTGCATAAAAATTAACGTTGTCTACGAACATATTGGTCTTTATGACATTCATTTCTAATCATTTAATGCCGAATGACAATGAAAACAGAAATTATTTTCAGCCGAATCATCATATCTTTACTAATAATCCTTACCAAATTACCACAAAGACCTGAAAGAATTTATAACAATCTATATATCTAAAATCAAACACTATATGTAACTTTGTTTGTTAGGACGTTTGTAGCTTATAGAGTGTATGAAGAGGCTGAAATTCTCTCCTATATAAACAAGGCACGGCGAAAAGATAGGTTATTGATTTACTGACTAGTTCTCGTACATCTGAGGAAATGAACGCTTATCAATCTATCAAATCGTTTTCCCAAGACGATCCGGACGAAAAGAGATGATTAAGAAGGACGACACAACCACTGCGGGTACCACGACAGCTGCAGTGCAAAACAGGAGCAGAAGCAGGAAGGAAGAAGGAAAGAGGTAACGAGAGTTAAGAATGGAGAGAAAGGAACGATTTGTGGGCTATAAAACTCTTTGATAACCATGCTAGGCCGTACCACTGCCCGGTCTGAGCTACGATGTTGGCTAGTTTGCTATAAAATGCAAATAGAAGATACTTGAATCAACATCCAATAAGGAAACATATGTGTATAACCAAGAAGCTATCGAAAGTGTAGATAATATACGACGAAGATTCACTATCTTTATTAGCCTACACTTTAAGAAATCTAATAGTTACTGCAAGATGAAAATAAACTCCATTCTGAAACAGTGGAGGCTTAGGTCTTAATTTCGCCTTGGTATCACCCAAGGCGGAATTGCTAGCCCCGTTATAGTCGATCTGACACTCTTACACCTGGAAGAAACTAGTATACACTAGTAAAGTCTTAACTCACACATATTTCCTTCAAGCTTATCGCTACATGGATGGCATACTGATAATTTACAATCACAAAGAAAGTCAGCTTAGCATCACGCTTGACCAGACATTTTGATATACCAAAATTAGAGACAACCCACAAGTTTCGGAATGATTGTCATTTCCTTGCTGGACATATTTTGATATGAAATGACTCAGTCATTACTAAGCAATATAATAAAATCAATGAATTGGCCTTTTTTGTTTCATGTGCTCTCAGGCAACATCAAATACATCAGTAACCGTCTAAGGATAGCAATAATCTATACCAAGATACTCAGAAATTATATCACTACGTAATATATAATGAATTCGTTGTTTACCCATTAAGCTACCAGGTCCGTGGAACAGGCAAACGAGGAGGCCGCAGACGGAGAAATTATGATGAAATACACTGACCTTTGGATTTGGATTGCTGCCAAGTGGCATGCGTTTTGGAACGCTGCCAAATTTCATAACGAGTGACTAAGCGTATTTTCGTAAAAGGGTTACACGTATTTCGAAAAGCAATCATGAGCGTCGCAATGAGAGACTGGGTCGCCAGTGTCCGGATTGTTATACCTGCTTTTTTCGAGCTTGTTATCCTAAAAAGTGTCTTTCAAACTGGGTCCCGCTGGTGCTTGAACTAGGTATCGGTGTATAAGCGGCACCTAGGGCAATTCGATCGGGCAGGGAATCACATTTTTGTGCGTTTGGGGCATTTCTCAGACTTGAAAGTCCTAAAGTGACATGTACGGCAATTTGAGAATACGCTTAAATACTTGAATTCGTTGTTTTTTTTGTATGAGTCGTAGTTAGTTTTTCTTATATATACGGTCTTCAAGCGACACATAGGGCATAAATTTCTTTTTTGAATAGTTACTATCGGTCTGTAAGCGGCACGTAGGGCAACTCGATCGGGCAGGGAAATAAATTTTTCCACGTTTGGGACAGTTCTTATGATTTTTGAACGGTCTTCAAGCGGCACATAGGGCATAAACTTCCTTTTTGAATACTTACTATCGGTCTGTAAGCGGCACGTAGGGCAACTCGATCGGGCAGGGAAACAGATTCTTGTGTGTTTGGGGCAGTTCTTACAATTTTCAAACGGTCTTCAAGCGGCATATAGGGCAAAATTTCCTTTTTGAATACTTACTATTGATCTGTAGGCGGCACGTAGGGCAACTCGATCGGGCAGGGAAATAAATTTTTCCACGTTTGGGACAGTTCTTATAATTTTTGAACGGTCTTCAAGCGGCACATAGGGCATAAACTTCCTTTTTGAATACTTACTATCGGTTTGTAAACGGCACGTAGGGCAACTCGATCGGGCAGGGAAACAAATTTTTTATATGTTAATTGATGGTCTTTAGGTGGCTCAGTAGTGTGCTTTTCGGGGATTGATCTCGTTTTGTAATAAAACTTCATATTCCTTTGGCGAAAAAATTGAGGGATTCTCTGAAAAAGTCCTTGCACGGTTGATTTCGTAGCTGTCGTTGATTCTGAGAGAAAAGTGTTTATCATAGTACACATAGTTGTTATGGGTGTATTTCTACAAAATGTAGGTGTTCTGCTACTTACTCAACGATCTTTTATGGAACTTATTGAGAAGAACTGGAAGAGCAAATTCTCTTTGAGAGGGTAGAAAAGTGGGGGGGGGGGGGGGAGGTTATGTGAATGTCTCTGAGAGGAGAGGAAATTTGCAGAGAGAGCGTGGTAAACGAGAGGAAAATAATATTCTCCATGCATTGTTGTAGCAGGAATTTCGAGAAATGCTGAACGATTTGTGGAGATTATCGCTTCTTCGAGCAGTTCTCCTTTGAATGCTTTTTGCAAAAAAGTTCTCAGGAAAGGAATAGGAAACTTAAGAAGTATTTATAGTCACAACTAAGGCCTTATATTGTATCTGCCCCGACCCACTTGCTAGCGACCCGTAGGGTCGCTAGTATATAAAGATTTAAAATAAACTAATGGATATCCACTTTTGCCAATCTAGGGTATAGAAAAAGTTGATTTAATTTTCAGTGTTAAAATGTTTGGCTCACAATAAAAATATAACAACAACTATATATAGTTGAAAAAATTCAGAAGCGTTCAAAATTTTGTTAGTAGCATAACTCATGAATGTTGAAACTAGAAGTTGAACTTGCTTGACCTTCTTTTCTAAACTACCTTTCCATCCTACTATAAAAATGAGCTAAGGCCGTCTGTTTTTTTGTA